CCGCCACGGCGCCGGCGTCCACCCCGGCGGCCGCCGCGGCGCTGGGCTCCTCGGCCAACCCGCTGTACATGATGCAGGCGGAGCCGTCTTTCTGGGCCCAGATCTGGCGCACGGTCCGCGTGCTGGGCCTGGCTTTCCTGCTCATGGCCGGGGCGGGCGCGCTGATGGACGAGCGCGGCCTGTCACGCGGCGTGCTCAACTCCCCCGACCTGAAGCCGCAGGTGGAGACGGGGACCAAGTTCTCCGACGTCAAGGGCGTGGACGAGGCCAAGGGCGAGCTGGAGGAGATGGTGGAGTACCTGCGCGACCCCGCGCGCTTCACCGCCCTGGGCGGCAAGCTGCCCAAGGGCGTGCTGCTGGTGGGCCCCCCCGGGACGGGGAAGACCATGCTGGCGCGCGCGATCGCGGGGGAGGCGGGCGTCCCCTTCTTCTACACCTCCGGCTCGGAGTTCGAGGAGATGTTCGTGGGCGTGGGCGCGCGGCGCGTGCGCGACCTGTTCGCTGCGGCGCGCAAGGCGGCGCCCTGCATCGTGTTCATCGACGAGATCGACGCCATTGGGGGCAAGCGCAACCCCAAGGACCAGCAGTACATGAAGATGACGCTGAACCAGCTGCTGGTGGAGCTGGACGGCTTCAAGCCCAGCGAGGGCGTGATTGTCGTCGGCGCCACCAACTTCCCCCAGTCGCTGGACAAGGCGCTGATCAGGCCCGGCCGCTTCGACCGCCACGTGACCGTGCCCAACCCCGACGTGCGCGGGCGGCGCCAGATCCTGGAGGCCCACGCGCGGCGCGTGCCGCTGGCCGCCGACTGCGACCTGGACGTCGTGGCGCGCGACACGCCCGGCTTCTCCGGCGCCGACCTGGCCAACCTGGTGAACGTGGCGGCCCTCCGCGCCGCCCGCGACGCCAAGGCCGCCGTGGGCCAGGCCGACCTGGAGTTTGCGCGCGACCGCATCCTGATGGGCGCCGAGCGCCGCTCCGCGCTGGTCAGCGACAAGATCCGGCGCCTGACCGCGTACCACGAGGGCGGGCACGCGCTGGTGGCGCTCTACACCCCCGGCGCCGCCGCGGTGCACAAGGCGACGGTGGTGCCGCGCGGCGGCGCCCTGGGCATGGTCAGCCAGCTGCCGGACGCCGACGCGGAGCTGAGCGTGACGCGGCGCCAGCTCCTGGCGCGCCTGGACGTCGCCATGGGCGGGCGCTGCGCGGAGGAGCTCATCTTCGGCGAGGGCGACGTGACCACGGGCGCCAGCAGCGACCTGGTCGCGGCCACGGGCCTGGCGCGGGCCATGGTCACCGACTACGGCTTCTCCGCGCGCCTGGGCGCCATGAGCATCCCCTTTGCGGAGGCCAGCGCCGAGGCGCAGGCCGCCATCGAGGCCGAGGTGCGCGCGCTGGTCACCGCCGCGCACGCGCGGGCGCGGGACCTGCTGGCGGCGCACGAGAAGGAGCTGCACGCGCTGGCCGCCGCGCTGCTCAAGGAGGAGACGCTGTCGGGGCAGCAGATCAAGGACCTGCTGGCCGCGGCGGGGGGCGGGCCGGAGCTGGCGCGCGCCGCGGAGCAGTAGGTTTGTTCGCGTTGCTTGGTCACCAGGAGGCGGCGGGTGCAGGTGTGGGCATGATGCTTGTGATGCCCAGACCCCACGCTGCTGGCCTGAGAGGTCTGTGAAAGGGGCGGCCGCGACGGCGGGCTGGACACACCCGCGCATGTATACACACAGCGATGACAGGGACCTGGTCCTCCAGGGGCGGAGGGAGGCAGGAGCAAGGGGAAAGTGCTGTGGCTCATCTGCAGTGTTAGGAGACAACAACGTGCCATCCAGTGTAAAGTGCAGGGGACCACAAGCTGGGAGCAGGTCTGGGTGTGGCTGGCAGCGCGCGCGCGAACCCCTCCCGAAATCTTGTGAGATCGGGAGCATGATCCAGGCGCGACACCTCTCGTACACGGAGCACAGGGAGAGGCGCAGGTGGAGGGTAAAAAGCAGTATCCAGACAGTTATCATACTGAAACTCCAGATCCATCGCAAACGCCATGGCGGAAGGCCTGTCGGTGAACCACGCTGCCGAGCCAGACCTGAGCCCGGGACCTGCAGGAACCCCAAAGTACCTGCGCACGAAGGACCATGTGCTCAGCATCGAGGATGCCCTGGGCAACGTGGGACGACATCTGAGCAGACTGCAGAGGGAGCGTCTGGAGTACGAGCCCCTGGTGCCCGAGGTCCTGCAAGGCAAGCCGGCGAGGTGTCGAGTTCCGACATGCATGCCGGAGTTTTCTGGTTGAGCAGTTCGCCCCGAGCGATGCTGCATGCATGTGACATTAGATCGCATGTACACCTGCAGGACCTCATGAGATTGTGGAGCAGGAAACACGGCAGGCGGCGGCAAATCACGAGGCCATCGCCAAGCTGTTCCCCCAGCTCTGCCGCTCCCCCCTCCACCTCCTGCGCCTGGTGCCCGGAGAGCATGCCCCGCATGCCGAGGGCCACCGCCCTCTCCGCATCGGGGTGGTGCTGTCCGGTGGCCAAGCTCCTGGGGGCCACAATGTCATCACAGGCATCTTTGACTACCTGGCCAAGCAGCACCCTGGCAGTGTGTTGATAGGGTTCAAGGATGGGCCACGCGGCATCATCAACAACGACCACAAGCTCCTCACCGCAAGAGAACTGGTGCGTGGAGGAGTTGAGGTATTGTCAGGCGGCTTAGTTGATGGAGCATGCAGTGCATGTTCTGTGACATGCGTAGCCCACCTTGATGCTCGTTTGAATCGTAACTGAGGATGCCTGCCGGTAACCTCCACTGGACGTGCAGGAGTTCTACCGTAATCAAGGCGGATTCCACCTGATCTGCTCTGGTCGTGATAAGATTGAGAAGCCAGAGCAATTGAAAGCAGGTGTGTGACGGCGGGGGGCAAGATTGTTGACTTGGGGAACATGGAAGGTGGAACCGGCTAGCGAATGCCTCACTGTCACCAGTTCATCTTCGCTGTACAACTGCGTTTCGTCAGTGGCGTTGTCTATAAACAAGCAGCATGCGAGGCTGCCTATCCATGGGACCTCCCTCCGATCGTCTCCACTTCTCCCAGCCTACCTCCCACCCTTGCCTGACAGCCAAGCAGACGTGCAAGGAGCTGGGCTTGGATGGCTTGGTAGTGATCGGCGGCGACGACTCCAACACCAACGCGGCAGTGTTGGCAGAGTACTTCCTCAGCCAAGGTGGAGACTCTGGTGGGAGGTGCTGCTACCGCTGAAGGCAATCCGACTTTGTGACGTACTCTCCATGTCCACCAGACCTCATCCTGGCCCCAACCCCCCTTGCAGACGTCCAGACCTGTGTGGTGGGCGTGCCCAAGACAATCGATGGCGACCTTAAGACAGCAGATGTTCCCATCTCCTTTGGCTTTGACACGGCCAGCAAGGTCTATTCAGAGCTGATCGGCAATGTGATGGTGAGGCTGGGGGTGCACAATTGTCAAGTGTGGGGAGTACGATATGAAGCACATCATGGCAATGCTGTCGTGAGGTAGGGGAAAGTGTGAGAGCGGCTGAAGAGCAAGCTGTGTGGACCTGGGTGTCAGGTTCCACCTTGACATCAATGTTTGGTTTGGGAGTCGTGCCTGCTTCAAGTCCCACTTGTTGAAAGACTGCACAACACGCTGCAATCCAACAGCTGGAACCTCTTGAATCCACAGACGGACGCCTCGTCTGCGAAGAAGTACTACCACTTTGTGAGGTGTGCAGCGGACTTGCCTGCTATGTGCTCGCAAGCACCTGGGTGACCGCGCAGTGCTGTTGCTCGGGGTGGCCCTCTCTTCTTTGGTGTGCCTGCCAGCAGTACAGCAGCCTTGTGCCCATTGATGACGACAAACACAGGTTAATGGGGCGGGCGGCATCGCACGTGACCCTGGAGTGTGCGCTGCAGACTCATCCCCAGGTGGCCCTCATCTCCGAGGAGGTGGACACGCACAGCTGGTCGCTGCATGACATTGCCAGCAGGGTGAGATTGGGCTGTGGGGACAAGGTGCCCTGCTGGGGAGGAAGGTATGTTTGGGGTGATGAAGATGGGGGTGGGTGTAATTGCAGCCTCGACAAGCGTGGGCTGCTACCTGCTGACGGCGGCGTGTCAAGTCACCCCGCCTGAGGAACACCCCAAACCCCTTCTTTGTAATGAGCCTAAATTACACATGCACCGTCCTGCAGATCGCCGATGTGGTGGTGGCGAGGGCCGAGGCTGGGAAGAACTACGGCGTGGTGCTGGTGCCGGAAGGGCTCGTAGAGTGAGTGCTGCCCGGATGCGATTGGGAAGTCGGCTGTGCAAGGGACATGTGGCTGGCTATCAGGTTGTACAGAACGCTGCGAATTGGTCTGTACTGTAGAGTTTGCCGAGGACCGGTCTCGGCATCAGGGGAACAGCCCCTGCCGGTCTCATTCCTCTGACCATCTCCTGCCTCACATGCGTCCACGACCCCCCCCCCCCCCCTTCCACCTGGGCCCCTCTTTCCAAAACAACAACCTCGTGAAGGTACGTTCACGACGTCTCCGCCCTGATCGTGGAGCTGAACGAGCTGCTGGCCAAGGACAGCGCCGACCCGCATGACCTCCCTGCCGTGGCCGCGAGCCTGACCCCGCCCTCCCGCGCCGTGTTCGAGTCGCTGCCCGCCGGCTTCAAGACCATGCTGCTGGAGGAGCGAGACCCGCACGGCAACGTCCAGGTGTCGCACATCGAGACCGAGAAGCTGCTCATCCGGCTGGTGGAGGGGGAGCTGGCGGCGCGCCGCGCATCCGGGCGCTATGCCGGCAAGTTTGCTGCCATCCCCCACTTTTTCGGCTACGAGGGCCGCTGCTCCCTGCCCACCAACTTCGACGCCTCCTACTGCTATGCGCTGGGCCACGCCGCCGCGTCCCTGGTGGGCGGCCGCCGCACTGGGGTCATGGCTACCGTGTCCGATCTCCAGCTGCCAGCGGTGCGGTGGCGGGTAGGCGGCACCCCCCTGGTGGCCATGATGTGCCTGGAGCGGCGCAAGGGGGCGGTCAAGCCCGTCATCCGCAAGGCACTGGTGGACCTGAATGGGCCCGCCTTCAGGGCCTTTGCCGCCGTGCGGCGCAAGTGGGGGCTCACCGACTGCTTCCGTTCCCCGGGGCCCATCCAGGTTGGAACTGTAATCTCAAGTTGGCCGAAACGGGAGAGGTGACCTGGTTGCGCACTCCCGGGGGCCCAAACTGTGTTGTCCCCGCCCGGCAGCATCATTTGGAGGGGCAGAGGCCACTGTCGCAGGAGTGAGATGGCCCATTTTCCGCAAGTTCTCCGACCCAGCCACCCCTTGAAGGTGGCCCCACCAATGGCTCCAATCCCTCCTCTGCCCCCGCCGCAGTTTTCTGGGACCCAGTACGCGGATGTGGCGACGATGACGCTGGGACTGGAGATCAACGACGGTGACCCGGTGCTCCTCCTGGCCCACGGCCTCACAAACTACTGAGGAGCTACAGCAGTTGCTGTGGACTCGGGAGCCGACCCTGGAACCATCAGCTCCCAGCAAGCTTGCAGGGTCCAGAGGCTTCGCTGAGGCATTGGAGTCCTGTCCTGCAGTGTTGCCACTGACTGTGCTGTTGTGTTATAGCTGATGATGTACCTTTTCCTCCCTCGGCAGCCTTGCACGGGACCCCTGAGTCCGACCAGCCCTTCCCTGCCTAGCAGCAACGCTTACTGCTGTTTTCGAGTGTGTCTTTCCTGTCCGTTCCTAGAGTTGCTCCCACGAATCCACCCCTCCCGTCTGCTCCGATCCTCACCTGCCGTGCATGCTGCCAAGGACAGTCTCTCCCCACCTCAACCCAGATGCTGTGCGCACAGCATCCCGCACCTCCGACCATGGGAGCTCTGCTCGCTCTCATTCCACTCAGCCTCCTCTGTGTATAAGCCTTTGAGGCAGTGCTGTGGTGCAGGGAGCTGCGAGCAGACTAGAAATTGGAAAGCTTCTGCCTATTGAACCAGCGGCTTTGGGAGGGGATAGAGAGGATCACAGGTACGTCTATCCACCCCCCCTCTCTCAAGCCGGCACGGGGACTGGTTGCCGCCCCAGCTGCTCGGCGGCTTCCTGGGCACCCAGCCCTTGCGGCAGGGGGCTCGGCGCGGGCGCCTCCATCAGCCTCTGCATCACGGAGTCGTTCCTGATTTCCAGCACGGCGGGTAGCCCGTCCCCGCACCCGCGAGACAGCCCAACGTCCACCCTGAAGACTCGGCCCCCGCACGCGCTGTTGATGCCCTGGATGTTGTATTTTTGGGGGGAAAAGGGTGCTATGGTCGAGTATGAAAGGCTTGGCCGCCGCCGCCCCGTTTAGCCATGCTGAACCCCAATCTCATTCCACCCCCCTAAACCCCCCTCGGCCGGCCCGGTCTCTACCCACCTCTTGCTGGATGGTGTGGCCCACCACCATGCGCGCCGCGCCCGGGATCCTGGCCAGCGACTCTGCAAGCCCGGCGCAGTCGCAGGCCTCGGCGTCCTCCGCGGAGTAGTCGCGCGCCCAGACCACGGCACTGCGGCCGGTGAGGATGCGCGGCGGGCGCTCCCCCGCCGCGCCCTGCAGCCAGGCCCGCGCGGCCGCGTTGAGCGCGGGCAGGCCCTGCGCCGCATGCACGGGGAGCACGCCGCCATGCGCAAAGACGGTGGCGCCCACCTGCAGGACCAGCGGGTGCGGCGCCAGGAAGCGGCGGGCCAGGGGACCCGTCCCGGGCCGCAGCGCGGCGTAGCGTGCGTCGGCGCCCTCCGCGCGCCGGAACTCGCGCATCTCGCCGCGCCAGGCGGCGGCTGCGGCGGCCGTGTTGCCGTCCGCGCCGAAGCAGCCACACCGCGCCTTGAGGGCCAGCTCCAGCGCGTGCGCGCGCGCGAAGCGCGAGAACTCATCCAGCCCACCGGCGGTGGCGAAGCGGAAGTCGCGCGCGGCCGACATGGTCTCGTGGTTGCCGTTGAGCACGTGCAGGGCGCCGCCGGCTGCGGCGGCCTGGCGCTGCAGCCGCTCCAGCCAGAAGAAGAGCTGGATCTCGGCGTCGCCGCGGTCCAGGATGTCGCCCACCTGGACGGCGGTGGCGGCGCCGCCGGCCCAGCGGTCGCGGTCGTCCACAAGGCCCGCGAGCCGGAAAGCGCGGCGCGCCTTGTCCAGGTCGCCGTGCAGGTCGCCGATGGCCAGCAGGCGCTCCACGCCGGGCAGCACCGTGGCTAGGCTGGGCGCCTGAGGCAGGAAACGGGACAGCGCAAAGGGGTTGTTTGAGGGGGCAGGGGGCGCAGGGACATTTAGGAGGGACATCGTCTGACGCAGATCAATGAACCAGGGCCAGCGCATGAAGGAGAAACACCCTCAACAAGCAAGCATCACCCACCTCTTCAGGGTCACGCCGTGGAGCCGCGGGGCCGTTGGCATGAGCCGTGTCAACCACCGCCTCGACAAAGGAGGCCCACACCTAAACCGTGGGTGGGGGAGTGGACGTGGGTGGCGCATTCTCAACCGGGCGACCTGGATGCGTTTTCTGCATACCATTCATCTATACATCTTCTGTCACCTTTGGGAACCCTGGAGGGCAGCGCCTCGGAGGGCCTGAGCCGTCGTGCCCTGCCATCGCACGTGAGCCTCAGGGAGTTTCCCTCCGAACCACCACAAGCAGCTCCTGTGCTCGCGTTATTCTGTCCTCAAACTCCTGGTGGAGGAAGACGCATGCCGAGGCGTCTGTCAGGCCTCTGTGCACATCGACTGCCGCTTGCAGCGAGCAATGAGAGGTCTGAACCCCAACAGCCCTAGCACGCACCGCATGGAGCCTGTCTCCGGGTGTTTCGGGGCATTGGTGGACGAGCAGATGCCATCTCATGCCCTGGTCGTGTGACTGGGCACCAAACTTGATCGCCCGGAGCGCCAAGCTCCAAGGCCGATTGCTGATTTCTGTTCGGGCACGGCACAGGTGTTGCCCACGACGAGGATCGACTCGGCCGCTGCCCGGCCTGCAGCCTAGTTCTGGATGTGGATCCAGGTGTCAACTCTAGTCGTGTATGCAGGTGAGAGGAGTTGAGTCCCTACAATTCCCCGATCCTCCATGTGGGCAGCAGCAGTGGCAAGGTTGGGAAGCTTCCCCCATAGCTCCTCCACCCCAAACCCCTCGTCGCCTGCAGGTTTCTACCTTGTCATAGTCTTCCTCACCCTGGGCATAGCGTGCGCCCTCTTCTACCTGGCGGAGATCATTGAGGAGCACACATCCACCACGAAAAGGCTGCTCAGTCATGTCATCAAGGTGCCTGGACTGTTCAGGCAAAGGGGCGATGGCAGGGGCTGGTGGATGCCTGGCCTGCCTGGATTTCCTACCATGACTCTGCCAGTGCACTTCATGTGCCTGTCATGCATGTCCTGCGCTGAGTTCCTGACAAATCGGCCTGCCAACCAGGATTCTGACCCCTCTATCCTCCTTGCGGCCACTGATCCTACTCACCTCCACCCTGACATCGCTTTTTGCTCAACCATGACCGACCCTCCCCCCCCCTCGCTCGCAGATCGAGTTGGCGCTGCACGCCCTGCTGCTGCTGGACCGCCTGCCCATCCTCTGCCTCCTGGTCGGCGCGGCGGCCCAGGTATCCCACCACACCCTCCTGAAGCGCTTCCCCTACAACAGCGCCCTGGCACCCTCCAGCCTGGCCAGCGCGGGCCTGACGCTGGCGGCCACGGGCGCCTGGCTGCACCACTTCTGGACCTCCCGCTACTCGGGCGAGTACATGGTGGCCTTCTGCCTGGTCACCACCTGGCTCACCCCCTTTGCGCTGCTGCTGGGCGTGACGGGGGAGCAGGCGGTGCTGCCGGGGGCGGGGGGCTTCCCCTATTCGTCCCCCGGGCCGGCGCAGCATGGGGGCGCCGCGCCGCCCAAGAAGGCGTCCAGGAGGGGGCTGGCGCTCAGGATGTTTGACGTGCTGCGGCGGAAACGGGACGACGTCGTCCCGGGGCTGGTCTCGCACCTGCCGGGCGTCACCAAGGAAAAGATCTGAGATCCTTTTGTGGTGCCAGGAGAGCGGGGTAACGCCTCCCGGTCCAATCAAGCTCCGCCCTCACACAAGGCAGACCATGAACTGGTGTGAGTGCCAGTGTGCACAGTCGCGCCCGCCCCAGCTCTTGCAGCGAGGGGCACGCCGTGTCCAGGGGCTGCGATGCGAGGCCCAGGGCTGGATCTGACCATCGGTGGTGTGCGCTGCACGTGTCCATCTGCCCGGAACGCGCTGATGAGGGACCTGTCCAGCTGCTCTGCACCCCGGCTGCCCCTCTCTGCGGTCCTGTCCACCATACGCGGGGCGACACGCACAACAGAGGGAGGGGGGGGCAGCAGCGTTAAGGAGCAGGGCATAGAAAGGCCTTTGGAATCAAGGTAGTATACAGCAAAAGCACGGTATGGGTCGGGGGGACAATGGCGGGGGATGTTGCTGCAGGTCCGCCCCGCTAAACTGTTCTTTCTTTCTTTCTGCCGTTGCGATGGAGGATCCGTAATGCAGACACGCCCTAGCGAGGAGGTGGACCGGCCTCGGCCCAGCCCCGGTCAGGCCGCGGTGCGGGCTGCGGGGCTCACGCGCGAAAGCCCGTTGGCGGCCGGCCGCCTGGCTGCCTGCGAGCCCCCGGCCCCGATGGGCCGCGCGGGCTTCGCCCCGGCCTCGAAGCTGCCGGCGGCGGAGGAGGTGTGGGGCTTATACTGGCTGGCCTTGCTCCGGAAGTCCTGGATGCTCCTGAAGTCGGTGTCCAGCAGCTCCTTGAGCTGCAAGGGAGCAGTGAAAAGGAGGGTGTCGAGGGGCTGAGAGGTCCGGGGGCGCAGAAGCAGGGGGTTTTCCATGTTGGGCACTTGATCAGCCAACCTATTCCAATGGAGAGTGCAACTCGACGCATGGAGGCTGAGCATTGTGGTGGGGCGGTGCAGGTTCCCCCCAGGGCGGGCCTCAGTTTTGATTGATTGAGAATTGTATTCCACACCAGCCCTCCCGAGGGGGGACTATCGGAATTAGCATGGAGATTTGACATCCCAGGCCGCTGCCCTTGATACTTCACATGCCAGACAGAACATGATCTCCCCAGTGAAAGGTGAGCATGCTGTGCGGCAAGCGGCCCCTCCCTCACCCTCTCCCAGCCGAGGGGCGCTGACAGCCCCTACACCCTGCTTCCGGCTCTGTACCTTGGGCTGGATCTCGAGCTCCTTGTCCTTGGGGAAGCCGTGGTAGTTGTGGAAGGCCCACAACTTCTCCAGACCATACAGGAATCCGTTGGCATAGTCCTGGGCAAGAGGTGAAGGTGAAGGATGGGCGCAATGCCCGACACAGGTTTGGCGGATGGGCACCCTGCACTTCAAGCATGCCTGACAGGTGCTCTGATGATCTTCTCGAGCACACCACCGCTGAGTGCTCTGGGCTGGGTATCCACTCTGGCACCGCTGGCCCCATCAAGCGCAGCCAGCATCCCATGCCCCGGAGTCCATCGCTCCGTCCCTCCCTTCCCACCAATCCTCTGCACCTGCAGCACGTGCTCCTCGAACTCGCGGTACAACTGCAGGTTGAAGGCCTTCTCCAGGCCGTAGGAGTAGAAGCGGAAGAGGCACTCCAGCCCGTACTGGTAGTCGCTGGCAGCGTCCTCCAGGGCATATCTGGATTGTAGATAGGGTGGGGGGAGGTGGGGGGCATGCGTGAGTTGGTGAGCGGTGCCTGGGCATGGAACTCTGGGGCCATGCACTTCCGCTGCACGCCAGGCGTGGCATATACTCGACTCCGCCCCTGCCCCAGCGATGCCTCGTCCCAATCACCCCCCTCCCCCTCACGAGTCCCCATTCCAACGTACTTCCTGAAGTCGTCGTACATGGTCTTGTTGAAGTGGTCCCTCAGGAAGTAGCACCAGAAGCGGAAGAGGGTGTTCATCTCCTCGCTGTGCCCCACGCCCTTTTCGGCGCGCTCGGCCAGGCAGCGCGCCTGGAACTTCTCGTACTTCATCTGCGTGAAGTTGGCCTCCTCCAGCAGCGCGTGGCTGGGGTGCTGGAACTTGGCGATGGGCGCGGAGGAGCCGAGGACGGAGGACCCGAAGCGCGGGCTGCCGCCGGCCGACACGCCGCCCAGGCGGCTGCGCGTGGCGGGGGACACACCCAGCAGGTGCCCCGACCCGTGCTCCGGCGGCGTCGAGCCCAGCAGCCAGCCCACGGCGACCGAGGGCGGCGACTCGGCGTGGCGGGGGCCGCCGCGGTGCGCGCGGCCGCCGGCGCCCTTGGGCAGCGAGGCCGGGTAGAAGGCGGAGGTGGCGCCGCCGACGCCTGCGCGGCGCGCGGCGCCCGGACCGCGCGGCGGCCGCGGCACGCCGTTGCCGTCCTGGAGCGAGGCGGAGAGGGAGGAGCGGCCGGAGCCGCCGGGGCCGGAGCCGCCGGCGCCGCCGGAGAGGGAGCCGGGGACGAAAGGCGAGGCGGCCGCGAAGCCCAGCGCGGCCCCCGGGCCGACGCGCAGGCCCGCCAACTCGCGCGCGTACAGCTCCAGCCCGTCGTGGATGGCGCGAGCCATGTCGCCCTCCAGCGCCGCGGGCGCCGCGGCGGCGGGCTTGGCCGGCGAGCGCAGCGACGGCTTCACCACGATCAGCCGCCGGACGTCGCGGTCCGACATCGTCGGCCGCGCCACGCCGGTGGCGGCCGCGGGGGCCTCGGCCGCCCTCGTGGCGGCACGCTCCTCGTGCTCCTCGTCCAGCTCGAACATGTCGTCCTCCTCCTCCAGCGCGGGGAGCTGGGCGGACCCCGTCGGCGGCAGCGCCACGGAGCCGGCCGCCTCCTCGCCCGCCGGCTCCTCTGTGGTGGGTGCGAGGGGGGGCGCCGCGGCCGACGCCTGGCTGGGAGTCTCGACGGTGGAGGGCGGCGGGGGGTCCGAGGCCGCCGCGCCAGCCGGTGCCTCGCCGCTGTGTCGCACCGGCTCGGGGGCCGGCGCCGGCGCCGGCTGCCGGGGCGCGGCGGGCGCTGGCGGGGGTTCGCGCTGCGCCTCGGGCAGCACCCACTGCTGCCAGTTCTCCCGCGCGCGCAGCGACAGCAGGTCGGCGCTCACCTCCACCACCGTGGAAGACTGCAGGGGCGTGCGAGACGCGAGGGGGACAGGGTTTGCATGCTGGCCCTACCACGCTCCACGCCGGCCTCGCTCCATGCCCCCCCCCCCTGCCCCAGCCTCCACGGGATGACCCCCCTGCCCCAGCCCACGATACCCTCGACCTGAACACCCCCACCTCCCCACCCTGTGAGATCACCCCACCCACCCCCAACCTCCAGCCCCCCCAAACCTCGGGCCCCGCCGCCCCCGCCCCACCACTCACCTGCATGGCCTGCGCGATCAGCCCCGGCTCCGGGGTCAGCATGCGCACGCGGTTGAAGGCTGCGATGGCCCTGACCGGGATCCACCCCTCGCCGTCCATCTTGGAGCGGAGGAAGAGGTCGCGCACCAGATTACCCACCGAGAAGTAGTAGTCCACCTGCGCGCGCACTGCCTCCCGCACCTGGGCCACGGGCGGCCCCGGCATGCCCACCAGGTTGGGGCTGACGCCGTAGGCGCTGGGCGGGTAGTACACCGCCGCCGGCGCGTACAGCGCGTAGGCGGTGGGCGGCGGGCCGGCGGCCGCGAAGCCGCGCACGCCGCCGCCGCCGGCGGCGGCGGAGGGGTAGCTGGACGCCGCGACGCGCGGGCGCGGCCCGGCGGAGGGCCGGTCGCCGCGCGAGGGGTGCGGGCCGCCGCGCTCCGCCTCGCCGTCGCCCGCGTCGGAGGCC